GTTTTTCTAGATTCCGATAAGTCAACTTTTCATTCAAAATATTAATGCTCAATGAGTAATTTTTAAACGTTTAAGAAATGTCAAAGTAGTATTTCAACTTTTGAAATGATAGGAGTATTTTTTAAATAAATGACGAAGTTCTATAGTTTTTCTTTTTGTAATTTAGCCTATATTTCGTAATATAAATGTGGTTAAAATACTAATTTTTTTAGTACAAGTAGCAAGGGTGGGAGATTCAAACTCATGATCTCTTGGTCAAAGATATGTGTCAGATGAGCTAAGTCCATATCGCGGTTAAAATACTAGTTTAGTCATACTTTGAGCTTTTTGGTTCATTTTGATCCATATACTTTTAAAATGTGACCATTTATTTTATTTTTAATTTAATTTTTTTATCACATTTCAACATGACTCAATATATTTCAATTTTTGTTAGGTGTAGAATTTGTGTTAAAATTTTGAAAATATATACCAAAATAATTAAAAGTACAGGGACTAAAATGAACAAAAATTGAAAGTACAATGACGAAAAATGAACATTTTAAAAGTACGTGAACCAAAACGAACCAAAGTTAAGGTACATTGACCAACATGATATTTTTAACATTTTCTTTTTAGTACAACAAACATAGAGACCCATCCTCCTTGATGGTCGATGCTTCAACCATATCAACAGAGCCACAATGGAGAATGAACTCTGAAGCTACAAGGAAAACACACCTTCAAATTCCGGGCCCACAAGGAAGACGAGCAGAAGAGACCTTAAAAAAGAAATGGGGATTGAACCTGAGGGTTATGCTGAGCTGTCAAACACTTGTGATTCAAGTCCTGCAGTGGTCACCATGTTGCTCAGTCCAAACAACAAAACTCGACCATAAAGATTAGGGTTCAATTTCGAAAAATAAAAAATAAAAAAGAGTTGCGCTGAACTAGATTCATGTCCGCCATATTTTAACTTACAAAAAGCTGACGTGGAGTTTAAAGAAAAAATGAAAAAAAAATGATGTGGCAGTTATTTCCTTTTAAAAAGAAAAAAATCCCTCTCCTTCGTCTCTCATTCCTCATCTTTCTGACGTCCCTCTCGATCTGAACCGTCGTATCTTTTTAAACGGTGGTGGATCGGAAAATTCGAGCTAACAAAAGAAGGTAAATCACATAAAATTATCGCACAATATCGTGTATTTATGATGATCTAATCCAAGTTTGTTTAACGGGGAAGAAATTCCTTGTAGATTTCTGCCAATAGCTAGTTCGAAATTTGAATGATTAATTTTCCTCGGTATGATATTATGAAGTGAAATGTAATAAGGAAACAAATGTGAAGAAGATTTAGTAAATCTAGTACACCCATGGCCATGGTTTTGCCCTCTTTCCCTCTTTCCTCTTCTCCCATGGCTGAGATTTCCGCCATTAAAGAACATCTTGAGTTCGTACCAGTCCGCGAAAACAACATTCAAGGATATTTCAAACGAATTCAAACGTTGAATCAAGAAATTGACCAACCCCACGAACGTGGATTCAAGTACAAATGACCTGGACAGTGAACTGAATGTGCTGAGTGGAAGACCTACAAAATCGAACAAACTCCGATGCCAAAGTCAATAATTGACGCTAAACTCGAGATAGAATTTATGTGTTTGCGTACCTTGAAATGAAGTAAATATGAGTTCTATTAATAGGCAACTTTCATGAGAAGACATCAACTGCTCTTTAAGTAATGGTGGTGTCATGTAATCTGTCGGAGATTGGGACTGAGTCGAAGTAAGTCAATCGGTACAACCAATAACTGAGAACAAGATTTCAAGTGAACTTGATTGGCTCGACCACCAAAGAGATTGACTCGATCTTGCCTCCAAAACCAAAGTARTGAAACTTAAGGCCTGTCGTCACCTAACTCCACATATCATCCTTAATATCTAATGATAAGGTGCTACGTACTCCAACATCATATTCAGTTCAGATATGAAACGCAGATGATTTTGATGATTTTTCTTGGGGCGGTGGCGCGGGACCGGCGCAGAGGGGAGAGACTTTTTAAAGTTTTTTTTCCCTTAATGCCACATCAGCTTTTCTATTAAAAAATATATGGCCATCATTATTTTTTAATAATACTTCTACCATAAGACATATTAGTGCAAGGATATGAATGATTCGACAGAGCTTGAGACTACATAGGTATAGTTAAATTAAACTTTAAAGAATTAATAATTAATATCAATATAAAAAAGTTGCACCTGTATTTCTATGTGTGAAGTTGAATAGGGATGTTGCATGTTACCATCGAGAGGATTTAACGGGTCTCAACGTTATTTTTTGCAATCCCCTACGCAAATTGAATTTAACAAAAAAAATAAACCGTTCGCATTTCTATGGTAAATCGTTGGCAATTCTTTTTTGCAAAAAGCACCAATTACACCCATCTTGAAGTTGAATCTGTTTCTTTAATTGCAATTCAGTATCTCACCATGATACAAACAACTAAGAGGATGAGTGTAATTTGGTATTTGACATCCTTCGTCAATTTACTCACTTTTTCATTTCAATTCGCTTTATGTACGTCGGTAGAAATTCAAACAAAGTAACAAATCTTGTGACTTATCTCTATAATAGCACCTTTATTTTATGAAATGGTTCTACTCTTTATTCGCAGCAAACCATCGTAGAGGATGATAGACTTTCCATCGTAGCCCAAGTGGCAAGTTCAATTTAATGATATTCCCCTCTTTAACCTTAAAAAATTAAAAAACCAAAAAACAACTATGTTGTAAGTGAACCGTTAGAAATTTTTCCTACGAAAAGATGCAAATGGGGTGGGGACAAATCATGTTTAAAATATCAATGTTAATTTGTAGGAACAAGTATTGCGTCTAGGTTATAGGGAATGCAACCGAAATAATGATCGGGAAATATGAGGGTCATTAGATGTTGTCAAATCTTGATTTGAATTATGAACTTTACACATTGCAAATTTGAAATTTTGTTTAATCTAAAAAAATTGAAAATTTTAATAGTTAACCATCTAAGATTGCATATCCCATCTTACACAATACATTTAGAAGTTTTGATTTAAAGTATATTATATATCGTTCAATGAAAAAAAGCTTTCTGACAACTTAAAATGAGTGTTGTCTTGRCATTTCGGGACCACAGTATCGCACTAGTAAACGAGCCACAAAATTTTTGACATGTTAGCACCTTTATGTCACTTGTGACATAACATTGCCCCATATTTATGCAAATCTACTATCAAATATTTGTTTTGATTTCATATTTTATATAGAAACTTTTCGTCCATCGGAAGCGTTATATCAATATACTCGTCTATCGTTAAGCAACATATTTATACATTCTACCTATCTTAAATATGTTCATTAAATGGGGGTTTAAATGGGAAGGTCCCATTTTGGGGATAAAATCAGTGTAAGTCAACTATATCCAACCAAACTATCTTTTTTTTTTTAGTTTATAAAATTGATCTTTTTTGTATTACAATTTGAATATGGGAAGTGAGAATTTATTATTAATATATCAGTTAATTAAGATATTATTATCCATAAGTTGTGTGGGTAAAGTCCAACTATAAATTTCCATAAATTCTACTAAATAACACAAATTTAGTGACCCTAAAAAACATTATAGTTTGTGGTTTTTCTTAAATATAGCATAAATGTGTTCGAGTTTTATACTACATATGGATTTGAATTTGGTTATATCATTTTTGTAAATTTTTTATTTTTTTCCTATATTTGAAAATACATATTTGTATTATAGGAAAGAAAATTCAATTTTTATCCCTCAATCTTTCCCCTAATATTAAATTTCATGAATTGAGTTTTAGACTTAAAATAAATCATCATCTACTAATTCTAATAAAAATCAATGAAAAAATCGATCAAAATTCTTAAATTTAAATTTAGTCCGATCAACTATTCAATAACTCTCTCAAGACCAACAAATTTCAATAAAAAAAATCTAATGTTCTTTTTTAGTCCTATCAATTTCATAATAAAATATTTTTTAACTCGCATAATAAATAAAAGTTTATTTGAATACAAAATTTACAATTAAGATAAAAATTGCAACACGTATCTCAATTTTAAGGTATAATCCAACGAATTAAAAAGCTTAGATTAAAATTAATGCATCTCATCAAGGTTTTTTGGATACACCAAATTGACTTTTTGGCAGAGAAAATATACTTTAACCATTTTTTCTTAAYTCAGGAGACATGTTGTAATGTGGAGTGGCAAGATAATAGATATGAAGTCGATGAATCTAAAGGCCAAAGAGTGATCTTTGAATACTGGGGATTAGGAGATTTGAACTCACGACCTTCTAATCATAAATATGTGTCTTAACCTGTGTTGGCAAGTTGCCTCTAACTTTACTACCCTATCCAACTTGTTGATAAAAGGTCGAATTCCGCAGGACAGAAGGCATGAAATGCCAATCAAATCCGTTAAAGTTCGCCTAATCAAAGCAAGCAAACAAGAAGATCTGGTTGAGTGATAATGGAAATTATTATCTAACTGGCACATCTGTCTTTTGGTCCTCTCTATATGTATGTGCTTGGTAGACCAGCCTCATCATGATAAATAGAGGACATCTTTGATCGTACACCTCTAATGTGACACGTTCCCTCTCAGTTATATGATCAACGGGATCARTCGTGCCTCGAGCGGGACTCTTTTTCTTCTGGGGAGGTAAATTTGTCCCCTTTGCTGATCCAACCTTCTTTCTCTAATAAGTCGACTACTTTAATGAGTTAAAGCATGCTTAGGCTGACGGTATAACTCACCCTATATATATATATAGTATTTTTGTTGATCAAAAGAAAATGAAAAAGCCGTAAAAATATCGCGATATTTGGAGTGAGATAAATGACAAAGGAGAAGACGATATGAGGAGAAATTGAAAGTACGGTGGACCTGGAATCCTCCAACCCTACATTTTTGCAGGCGCTATCTTTTTACATTACATATACCTATCTTCCTCCTCCTCTCAATCTCTTCTTTCTCTCTCTTCTCTCTCTTCCCACTCTCTCTCTAACCAACAATTTCTTCTTCTTTCTCTAAGCTCCCTCCTGGATTTTGATCGATTTGGGGATTTTGATTTTGATTCTGATTTGGGTTTTGATTTTGATTTTGTTTGGGGGGCATTTCCTGTTTCTTCTCTCTGTCTTCTCTTCATGAGAGCTTGCCGTTCAGAGGGAAATTAATGGGGAAGTACATGAGGAAAACCAAGACCGCCGGCGAAGTTGCTGTCATGGAGGTTTCGCAGTCCTCTCTTGGGGTTTTGACTCGGGCGAAAACCCTCGCCTTGCGTCGCCTCCAGCAATCTCCGCCGYCCTCGGCGTCTCCGCCCGGTTCCGGTTCCTACCTTCAGCTCCGGAGCCGGCGGCTCGAGAAGCCGCCGGTTGCGTTTTCCGGCCATGAGTCGAGGAGGCAGAAGCAGAATCACAAAGAGGGGTGCACGCGGAACCCTAGGACGAGCCCTAGCCCTAGCCCTAGGGTGAGTTCTAGTTTGAGGCCGGCCATGACTGAGAGGTCGGTCTCGCTTGGGCGTGTGAATGATGAGGGGGATCAGACGGCGGAGGAGAAATCGGCCGGGAAAATTGATGAAATTCATGCGAGTGGAAGCAAGAACGAGAATGTTGATTTGGTCGTCGAAGAGGCTTCGTTTGGAGAAAATGTTTTGGATTTCGAAAGTAGAGAGAGGTGGGGTTTCTTCCTTATTTTTATCAATTTTATTGTTTCGCTTAAACGCTGTCCAGGAATTATTTTTGCCCCCATCTGATTTTTCATTACGAAAAGATTTGGGGAATGGAGGAGACTGAAATTGTGCATTTCTAGTGACAATAGTGAAAACATGCATTAATGTTTTAGTCTGAAATTTTCATTTCGTTGATTTGGTTGCCTACAACTGTGTGGAAATTGGTAAAAATTTTGTTCTTTTGTTGGGTTCTCGGAATATTGCAGAAGGGGGAGAAATTATGCTTCAATTTGTTCTTCATCCTTCTGGTGTTGAATTTTCTGTTTGTAGCCCTCGTTTTTCTTTAGCCTTTTTTTTTCTTTTCATGCTGCACTTTATATTGGAACTAAACTTTTAATGAAGCATTCAAATTRTTGTGTTTTTTAGGATGTTCTACAGCAGAGAGACCCTAGACAATCTTTCCACCGTAACTTTTTTTAATTGGAAATTCCAAGGATGGTATTTGTCAAACTTTTGTGCGCACCTTGTTTATTTGTTCACGCCTTTATGCCCCTGTGAGACCACCTTTCCTATTGAGCTATTTCACTCTGCCATTGGTTTTTGGTTTTGGTTTATTTTTTAACTTTTCTTCAAAACATTGTCCTGGGATTCTCTTCCCCACTTATTTTTTTGCAGTTGAAAGGGTCATTCAAGATCATCATTTTCTTGTTTGTATATCATGTGTTTGTTTTTTTCGTTTACTCTGCTTTACCCCCCTTTTATTCCACTAGAAGAAAAAAAGCTTGTAGATGTATTGGCTCGATAAATTTTTTCTGTTTGTCTTGTTCTGGAAGAGAAGGTTTTTGAAAATACYTTTTTTCCCTGGGCTTGAACTTAATATTATTTGTCTCTTTGTACAGTCTCTTGTTTTACTTTTTAGATATTTCTGACATTTTCATGTGATGTCCTTACTGTGGATGGATTATTGATTTTGTTACTTTGATTATTGAAATCTATTGTGTGACGTGTGGTAATTTTTGTTATTGAAAGTGTTCAATGGAGGTAAAACGGCGTTTATCTGCTAAAATTTTACTTACGAAATGTTCACATGAAAGCAACTCTTGACTTGTACTAGTGTTTCTAAACATTTGTATTTCTGCTAATAGAACCATTCTATTGCTGAAGTTTTAGCACAATGCACGCTTGTTTCATTAATCAAATGTTGACGCTTTCTTTAGCATTTATCATTCTTTATCTACTTGCTAATGTTTAACGGATGATGCTTTTGATTGTACCAGGAGTACCCGGGAATCTACTCCCTCCAGTTTGATAAGGAATCCCGATATCATTAGAACACCCAGTTCTACTACCAAGCCAACGACCAGTGCMATCGAAACTAACCACAGAAATAATTACTCATCTAATCGACACATACCGACAGCTCGTGAAATGGATGAGTTTTTTGCTCTTGCTGAAGAAAAGCAACAGCGACACTTCATTGAGAAGTATGCTAACACGTTTTCATTTCTTTCATAGCTGTAAAAAAAACCCGGTATTGTTTGGACAAGTAACATTCTCAATGGTGTGATGTATGCAGGTACAACTTCGACCCCGTGAAAGATACGCCGCTTCCAGGCCGCTACGAGTGGGAGAAGTTGCAACCATAGAAGATTATAGCGCGTTGTTCCATCAGGACTCCTTTTCCTGCTTATTTTCGATTGGTTTTGGGCTTGGGTTTTCAAAAGTAGCAGCAGGAAGGAATTAGTCTAACCTTAAAGGGCGATGGTGTTATTTCCTTTTTCCATCATCCTTGTTAACTTGTAAAGGAGTAGTAAGACCTCTCAAAACCCAAAAAGAAAGAAAAAAAGAAGTGTAAACTAATGTTCTGTAACATAACAGAGGTTATGATTTACACACCAAATACCCATCAAAGTCCATTGTCTAGCCATGTTACTGAGAGGGGAAGGAAAGAGGGTCTGCAGTTTAGTGGTAGGGTTAGTAGTTAGTTCAGGCAACTAGGAAACTCTGTGGTACAGATAATTTACTTAGAATTTTTTTTCGTTTTCTCTTCCCCCCTTTGTAGTACTGTACTCCCCTCCGCTCCTCTTCTTTGTCTATACTTGTACTGATGGAACTACAAACCAACAACCTGTGGAATAAAAACTAACCCTTTGTGTCTCTCTTCATCTTCTACTCTSTTGTGTTATCTGTATATTGCTGAAAATTAACCACTGTGATGTTAATAAACCATTTTTTGGTGTCGACTGATGAGAGATGAAAGTATTATTTGGTTAAGAATAGGCGGTTGTGTGGTTTGTTGTTTTCGGTGGGTGGTAGTGGGAAAGCTTTATGATGATTATTGAAGGGAATCTTATGTCCACCATTAGTTTATTAGTAGTGTGTATGGTGGCACTTGTTAATTGTGATTTGCTGCTGTTTGTTGGTGGTGGTGACAGACAGGTTGAATTCAAAAGGATGAGGTGATGTAAAGATTAGGAGACAAGGATTAACACCTCAATCAATCAGGGCCAGCCCAGCTTGAGAAAATAAAATTATATCACCAAGAATATGCTTTCCACAAAGCAAAAGCCACAAAGACTTGACCACAAGATAATCTCTCTCTCTATCTCTCTCTGTTTCTCTCTCCTTATTTGGCTGTTTTTTATGTGGGTGGGTGGAACTGTTACTAAATTAGTATTGGGTGAAACACAGGAATCTTCAGTTTCCAATGGGGTGAGAGAGGGTCTTTCTTGGGTTTGAAGTCTTTAGCCAAAAGATTAGAGTGGCTGAATTCAAACAGAGCATTCATGGAGTTCTCATTAATTGGGAGACTAAGGAACTCTTTTCCCCCTAGCATGCGTCACACTCTTGAGTGAATTTCTGACCTTTTTTACAGTGAAGATGAGTCAAAGTAGAAAGTAATTGCCATCTTAACTAGGTTTGGAATTTACTCAACTGAACCAAAAGTTTTAAGATGCCTTAAATAGATTTCAATAGAGAGAGTATGTCTATATGTGGTCATCTTGTGCACTATCAACACCTAAACATAGCTCAAACATTTCAAGACATTAGTAATTTCTCTAAAGTCGTTTGAGAATAAGTCGTTGTGTTCATAAGAGATCAAGGACTATATAGAAACAAATGAGACTAATCTTAGTATTTCTCGTTGATAGTATGTTGTAGGGTCTTGCAGTCTGTTCGGTAACACAAAAAAGGAAAGGTTGGTGGGTTTAAAAGTGAAATGGGGAGGGAGGGTAAATTTGGAGGGGGTAAATAGAGGGGCTGACAAGTCACTGTTTGGATTGTACATAACTGTAAACTGCAAACTGCAAACTGTCCTATGTGAATGGCACAGAGTGATGTCTTTTTTGAAGCTTTGCATTCTTATAATCTTATTTCATATCTCTCACTGAAATCTCTCTCTCTTCGTGGGTTGCTTTCATGGTCATGATGCCTGCAACTGCAAATCTCAAGTTGATGCCAAAGCCAGAAGAGGCCCAGGTACAAGGATACTCACCTCATACTTTTGAACTTTCACATGAGAGAGAGAGAAGAAAGAAGGATTTAGAGAGAGAAAGTTGCATGTGTTTGGGAGCTGCATATCTCACAGGTGGCCCTTTATTTCAGTCACTACTTTGATGATTACTCCCCCTTCACTCATCTGATAACACTTTTTGGGTTACAAAATATTAGGTGGATTCTATCTCTTTATGATGATAAGATATTGTTTTTTTAGTTGAATGGATGGAGATTGAACCATCAATATTTTGGATGGTAACAAGGATACGGTATTGTTTTTTAGTTCAACGATTCAGAAGTGAGAGATTGAACCATCAATATTTGCGATGGTAATAGATATTTTATCTAYTGAATTATGTTTGAATTGAGCGAAGATTTTAGTCACAAATTTTACATTTAGTTTGCCAAAAACAAGTATAGTGCAGTGGTAATTAACATACCTCTCAAACCAAGAGATTGTAAGTTTGATCATCAACCTCCACATGTTTGTTTCTTGGGTTTAGACATTTTTCGAAACCATTTTCAAGGTTTCATTGTTTTTTTTTTTACACTACGAAGAATTATTAATATTTTAACTAGTTAAAGATATATTAAAACTAGTAAGAGAACCTGAATTGTTGGTAGATTGGCCACTAAAAAGATTTACTTTYAATTTTTGTTCATTTTAGTTCTTGTAATTTCAAYTTTTATTTATTTCAATTCTTATACTTCTAAAATGTCTGAAGAGACATAAAATAAAATATTATATACTTCTAAAATGAAATAAAAATCAAAATGATCGTTTTAAAAAAACACAAATTAAAACAAACATTTCAATATGATCCAACAATAAAATTACACCGAGTGAAATGAACATAAAATGAATTAAAGTTGGAAGCGTATAAATTAAAATATTATTTAAAAAAAAAAGAGAGAGAAAAAAACCCTAAAAATGATGAATGAAATGTATTAAGGGTTTTGAAATTCACTTCACCCAATGATGGCATGGTCCTTTGTCTACTATTTATTTATCACTCCTAAGAGTACTTTACTATTCATTTATTACAAGTCAAGTCATTTCAACTCATCACTCTCTTGAACTTCGAGCCCATTGCTTTGTAATTTGTGACACTCCAATCTCTACACTTCTTTTTTTTTTTTTGGATTTTAAAGCGTTTGTTTTATTCATTTTATTATTAACTCTGGTTCGTCGTAGTTTTCCGTATTTAAAACATTTATTTATTGTAATTTTGAAAGGTGATTATTTTGATTTTATTTATAAAATTTTAACTCATGTTTTGTATGAATGAAATATCTTTTATACAAATTTTATTGATACATTCCAAAAAAATTAATGAGTAAAAAGTGTCATTTTGGAAGCACAATAATCAAACTAAACAGAGAATACAAGGACGAAAATTGATGTTTTGAATGTGAAGGGACCAAGATGAACCAAAGTCAAAAGTATATTGATCAAAATAGTATTTAAACATTTTTTAATTGAACTATCTTTGGATTAGCAAATATATATTTATACATAAAATACTACGAGAGTACGAGAAAATTTATAGAACTACATTTGCAAGTGCTCTTTTTATTCACAATTTGACGTATCATTAAGTGATATATTATTTTATTTTATGATCTCACGCCATTCTTAAACGTTGTTGATATGGCAAATTGCAAATGAAGTCATACGAAAAATTTTCCATACTATTATAGTACTAGAAAAATTCTTCCAAAACTATTTAATCACATTGTTCTTACCATAATTTTTTCTTTATAGTTTTTCTCTAACAAAAATAAAATATAATTGAAGTTTTTATGTAAACTTGGCTTGAATTATGTGGTTTTGTTGTTTGAGAGTGTAAAATTGAAAATTACCTAAAAAACAAAAGTGATGAACACGATTCACTCTTGTGT